AATAAGGGAGAAAGAGAGGAAGACTCCCAAGGCCAGTCACCCAGCTTCCAGACTGACAGACACAGACCACGCAGTGACAGCCCTGTCATTCACAGCTTTCACTCAATATTTTTGACAATTTATGGCAGATAATTCTGTGCCCTGGGAGGACGACCCTACACGCTGTAGGTGATTTATCAGTGCTGATGATTTCTTCCTGCCAGATTCCAGTAAACTCCTCCACCAAACTATGATGACCAGAACTGTGTTAGACTTCACCATATTCCTTGTGTGTGTGTTGGGGGGGGCATGTGTAGAGAAGGAAAGAAAGAGGGGAAAAGGAAGGGAACAGAGAAGAAAAGCATGGGAAGAGAAGGAGGGATGCACCTGGATTGCATAATGAGATACTGCTTCAAGAAAAAAATTGAATACATAAATATATGTACATGTATTTAGTTAAAATTCAACTTGCAATATCTTAAAATTACTGGGTGGAAAGATGGCAAAAATATTCTAGATACATATGTCTAAGCCCGAAATTCATACTCACATCTCTGGCATAGTTGCCTTCGTCCTATCCCAAGCAGTCAGATATGCCAACATTCCCAGACTGATGTGATTCTGGGGACTGCACACAAGAACTATATGCCACTAGGGAACACTCTGCCAACTGAGTTTCGTCCCCAGCTCCCAGCAATGATTAGGTGACTGTGAGCTGTAGGCTGGGGGGCTTGGAGTTGAGAGATAGCTTGGCTGTCGGGAGCTCTGCAGCTGTTACCTCCAGGGGTTACCAGGCCTGTCATTCTGGGCTGCTTCACCCTGTAATCTCCTGACATGCAGAACATCCCCTTCAGTTCCTGACCCTGTGGCTGGCCCAGAGTGACAGGTGTCAGGGTCTACATCTGGGGTGAGAATGAGGCCAGCATCTTCTGGCAGCATCCACAACAGCTCAAATCGTGGCTACCCAAGCATTAATCAGGGCACCAGTCACCATTTCAGCTAAACATAGTGTGATACGTTGATTTTTATCTGACTGTTGCTTTACAAATCGCTCCCTCAAGACCTCGTAATGACAATGGGGCACAAAGACAGAAGTTCTGCCAAGCTGTAGCACTAATCTAATGTCCTCGTTGTGTAGTTGAACCCTTTCCAGGCCCTTGAACCTCCATCCTCTCATACCATCATCTGTACAGTCAGAACTAGCAGGGTTCTCAGTGATTAATGGACTCGGGCATGTCATCCCAGGTTTGAATAATTAGAAAAATGGTGATAATTTAACAATGTGAATTCAAGATTTTCTAATCCTAATGTTCCAACACTCATTTTCCTCTCTCATTATTATGATCATTGCAGAAAATCAGGGTTAATCTTCCATGAGGTAAGAGAGGGCAAAGGAGTTTAAATACTGTGACTGTTTCCCTTGATTTCATAAAACAATGACTACTTCATTCTCTCCTACTTTGTAGTCCAGTTTTTCTTCAGAGATTCTGATGGATGTCTATCCAACTCCTGATATGTGTTATAGTTTAAAACTGGCAAGGAGAAACACAGTACCAGTGTTATAATTTAAAAACAGTGTGTGTGAGAGAGACACTATGTGACAAAGCTCACATGAAAGATCTTATTTGGGAAGGGGAAAAGGGCCAAGTGGAAAGGCACAGAGGCTTGCTTGCTAATTTGGAAGAGTGTCAAGAAAGAGGAACTAGCTAACTAGAAGAGCTAGCTTTTAAAGAGGGCTTAGCGCATGCGCACAAAGGCTACTCATTAACAGTTCATGCACACAGAGTACATGGTGACATAGCAGTCTAGAACCCTGGGCTGGCCAGGTATCTGCCTGAATGCTGACAACACTTGTGCACAGGAGATGTTCTTACTGGTTATAGCTGAGAACCCTGGCGGTGCAGGGTAGTGTAATGTCAGAAATGCTAGCAAGCACATGCACAGGGAGTGACTGTGGTTGGTGACATAGGTCCATAATGTCAGGCCAGCAGCATATCTGAATGCTGACAATATTACTATGAAATTATGTTTGAAAATCAACAACAAACTTCAGTTGTTTTCAGATTTGGGACAAATCAATACTTCTTCAAAGTCAGAGAGCCCATTCTAGGTGCCAGTTCCCATGGGCAACAGTGTCCCTGGGCCCATAAAAAGAATGCCACTCACTTCACTTTACTTTTCCTCAACAGAGACCCAAATGAGTTGCCCTAACCGAACACTGTGAATCAGAATCACCCTACAAAGATTTCCAAGCCATTTATAGATTGACACCACTCAGCACAGGAGAACGCCTACCAAAGTCATCTGACTGGACCGAGGGATTTATGTTGCACTTGGAAAGGGAGAAAACTGTGCTAAGCAAGCAAACCCATGGAAGTCCCAGAGGTCAGTTTGTGGGAATCTGTTCTTGCCTTCTACCATGAGGGTTCCAGGCACTGAACTCAGGCCACCAGTTTTAGAGGCAAGCATCTTTACCCACAGAGGCATCCTGGTGGCCCTAACACTTTAAAGATATTTTGTGATACTTTTTAAGATGTAGTAAAGTATGTATTCCTCAGTTTTATTCAGATTACAGGACAACCAATAACTCTAAGCTGAAAACCCTACATTTTCTACATTGGAGAAAAAATATATACCTAAAGTTTATGCAGAAAAATATCCATGTTATAACAAAGAAAAGAAGCTTCCTTTGTTCTTTAGAACAAAGTGTTCTAAATGCTTAAGAAAACAACTGTTAGGTTTTAGTCAGTGCATGTTTGGAGCAAATGCAATTGGCATTTGTGCAGCTTTCAGTGCTAGTGGCTAATTGTCTTTGAGACATAAACACGTGGTACAAAGGAGAAAGAATAGCACTGGTTACAAGGAATCCCCCCCCCCCTCAATTAATAATAATCTGGTACTCTTTGTAACCATCTTGCCCATCAACTGTGACTGAATAATGAAAGAGAAGCACGCTCTCCCTTGCTTTCTCTGAGATGCTCATGGTCCCATTTCATGCATGCCATGAGGCATGTGGGTAGCAATGAGCACCACCAGAGTCCGGTGGCCTTTAATGTATTTGGCCAATTTATGTTTTGATACCTAGAGGAATCTTCAAAGGGGCTGCACAAAGGCCTCTAGGTGTGGAAGAGAAGGAAGAAATTAGCTTTAAAGTGATAAGACAGAAGCAGCATGTAGCCCTCAGAACATGCTCAGGTGCAAGTGTGACCACTGGGCAGCTCCGACTCCAAGGAAACATTGAGACATTGAGTCACTGTAGGGCATAGTCTCCTTCTTTCCCTCACCCCTAGCCCCACTGAAAATGTCCCTGAGAGAAAGGACTGTGACAACATTGCCTGTGACCTCATTGATAATTACGCAGCTCCCGAGCATAGACATCTAATTGTGTACCACTTCATGGAGTCTCATTGTAAAATGCAAGGAGTCTAATCATTTCAATATCAGTATTCCCCTAATCAATCCTGTTACAATAGTGAGTAAAGCAAGAAAGCTATTCTAGACTTTATTAAGATAAAATGATATCCATATCACTACAAGAACCTAAGAAGATAAATTGTTGAAAACAGTGAAACATCTATCAATCAAATTAACACATGGAACAGATTTCCTATATGTAAAATAAATGTAAAAAGTATTAAGAGAAAGAAAATAGAAGTATATTTGAGTAATACTGAATAAGCATTGTAATGGAAATAGAAGGAAATAATCTTCCCATAATCCTGTGTGCTGATATTTGAATGAACGTCAGCCCCCAATTCCTCTTCTGCTAAGTGACCCTGCTTTCAAGTTCTATCTCTGCTCTTCCAACACACTAACATGTGTAACGTTTGCAGATTATAGACAAGTAAAGAGCTAATATTGAAGAGTAAAAAATGGATGCTAGTATATTTCAATCCAGTGAATTAGGGCTGTTCACGCAGATACTGTGCCCACACTCCCAGTGACAAGACAACACATTCTAAGGAAGAGAAAGAAAATTCACCTAACCTATTAAAAAAACGGGGACAGTCACTGCACTATCTATGACAGAATTAAAAAAAATGTTTTTAAAGACAGAGAACTGATAAGTCCAATTGCTTATAAAAAGTAGAAGATATATCATGCCTGAAAATAGCATACAAAGTATATTTGAAAGTAATTGTGCTAAACATATTAAATATAAAATATAAATCTCTCTACTGGCTACACAGAAAATTTCCAACAAGTGTTGCTTGGATTCCACAAAGATATGGATAAGTTGTCTAAGGTGGATAGGTGTCTCTGCTGGCTGTGATATCAATACCATTTCATTGACATCAGCAGCCTCAATCCTTCTGCTTCCTGTCAAGCATGCTATAAAACCCCAGGTACTGAACACAGTCCAATTACTGTAGAACATGAAATGAGGAGGATAAAGGGTTTGTTAGTCTTAAGTATGTATATTACTCTGTTGGCGGGGGATGGAAGTATAGCTTATATTTTCTAAACAAAGTTAGAAACAATCTGATTGTTTTCCAAAGGGATATCATCTTTCCCTTACCAATTGAAAATTGATTGTTTGTTATTTTTTGACTAATGGAAAATGTAATATGAAAATCATACCAATAAATATGTTTCCTTGTGGTAGAGATCACACACGAGAAATGAACAATGTAATAAATAGAAATGAGAGCTGTCTCAACCAAGATTTCCCAGAATTCAGTACTGCTGAGAGTCCTCAATGACCCACCCTCTCCCAGTGGAGAGGCTCCTTTCTTTGCAGTCTCAGTTGAGCCTTGCATTTCATTTTTTGATTTCTCTTTTCATTTTAAATTACCTTGACAATATTGCTGAGAAGATCATGAGCAATTTGAAAACTGTGTTCAAAAACAAGTTTTCCAACTAGGAATACACGCTCACCATGCGACACATACATAGTCTTCTGCGTTTCCTTATGGTAGATTATATTTTTGGTAAATACGTATAAATATAATTACAAATATCTTTCAGACTGTAGTAACCAATCATGCCAGTCTCTATGATAGAAACACTTGGCACTTTACCTCACTTTCAAGTTCCCTTGTTGGGGCTGCCCATCGTACACCGATAAGATGTCGAAATCCTCCTCTAGGGCGAAGGTGTGGAAGGACAGCTGTATCCTGTTGCGCTCCCCAGTGATGATGATCCAGGTGCAGTTGGCATAGTTAGGATAACCATGAGGAAAGCCGGGGCTCTCAATGGTGCCATTGGGTCCCTGGACCAGACCACCACAGTTCTGACCTGTGTAGGTAGAAAAAAAATAGTGTGTTAACATGTTATTAATCATCAACCTATAGTTGTAAGAATATCCCTGTCATTTTCATCAATGAATGACATACTATGGGGCTTTCTACATGAATATTAAACACTAATTCTTATCAGAGGTCAAGGATAGCATAAGAATAACAGAAGATGAAATGGAAGAGAATTATAGAACCACATTTGGGAACTCACACCAGATATTCAGCTTCAATTTTGGACTACAGAGAAACAAATTTCCTACCAATGATCTGCATAGAATGCTGAAATCCCTTTGTCCATTAGGGATTAGATGGACAAAGACTTTGAGTTACAGAGAAAATCAACATTCTTAATGTTACTGTAATGCACTCAGGTTCCAAACTTTGGTATGTGGTAGCAGGGTTAGGAACCTTGCCAGAATGGACATGAGCCTGTTCTGTGTTAACATCCTTATAAAGAGAAGGATGAAAGATGGTAGAATTTATATGCTTGAAAATAGAGGGCATGAAACAAGCTGGTTTAAGATGAAAATAGTGGCGAAGCAGAGAAATGAACATCAGGATATTCCCCACCAATAGTATACTCCTTATATAGATGGGACATCGTGTATGAAGGAAGGAACATTCTTTATCTAGTGGTGGAGTTACTAAAGAAAATCTTTGGAAATGTAGCGGTGAAGAGGACACCCATATCTCCCAAGGTAGATCGTGCATCATCCTCTGTTTCCTAAATCCTGCTTTCAATATCCCTCCCAGAGAGGACAGAGATGACAATGTCATTCAAGAGCAAATGTTTGGTGTCATGCACTTCCCTCTAAGCAAGACTAGGAAAGAGGGGTAAGAGCAGGAGATGCACTGAAGAACTATTTGCCCTTTGCTTCTGTTTCCCAGGTGTGTTTGTGGGGTGTGGACATGTTGCCAATTCTTCCTCAGGGACTCTCTTGATGTGTGCATATCCCTAACCTAGTTCCATGCACCAATCCTGACTTCAGTGAACTGCAGTCAGTCTTGTGTTGAGGATCCAACTGCTATAAAGATCTTTCCTGGAAGATTAGTAAGAGTTTCATGTGTAGTCCTCTGATTCCCTTTCTCATTAGACATCCAGAAGTCCCTTTCTTTCCTTTCCTGACCTAATATCTCTCCCTGCTGCTCTGGTCATTTCTTCCTCATCTTGGCTCAGAGATCGCCTGTTGAGATTCTCCCTCCATGTCTCTCCCCACATCTTTGCTTCACCTTGACATGCCTTCAGTGAAAATTTCCCTAGTCCTCATATGATTGCAGTTTTTCCTCTGCCCATTTACCTTGAAAAATCCACCCAATTAAAAAAAAAAAAACCTAAAAGCCAGATGAATCAGTGGAACCAGTGTGTGGCAAGGACAACTGCTTTCTCTGGTCCTCTGCACTGGGTCAAAACATAGAAGTGTTTAAAATATTCCTTTTTAATTAACTTCAGCATCTAATTGGTTTGGAGTCAGCCATGGGGATGATTTCTAGATTCTTTGCAGCTTTTCTTCCATCTCAATTGGACCATTTTCCAACAACATGTTGTGCATCTTTAAATGTTTCAACACTAGGACTGCGGCGAAAGTTTCCAAGGAACCTGGCTTGCTCTGATTACTCCATGTTGTGTAAGTATTTGAATACAAGTATTATCCCAGCTTTCTTTGTTGTACTGCAAACAGTGAATTATTTCCAACTATATTGTAGACTTAAAAATCACCATAGTAGGTCTCAGTGAGCTCAAATCTTTCATGGTAATAGTATCAAATGATTGTAGGAGTTTGCTCAATCTTAGAAAAAAAGATTTAATGAAAGGGATTTGTGAGTTTAAAACCAAAGAACTAATAAGAAACCCATTTTCCACTAAATTTAAATCTAACAATAATACTGTAACAAGTGGATATTAAAACTGTGGGGATTTGAAAGGGCTTTAAAGGAAACAGCCTTTCTGGTTTATCTAGCAATTCTTACTTCATGGTAAATCAGAAAAAGTGAAGACTTGATTATAAATTGGAGAAAAGAAAAAAAAAAAGAAATTTAACAGAAAATGTCAGCAGGAACGTAGTCACTGTTAGACACCCGTCATGCTGTACCAGGCTACCAGACATAAAGATTTCCCAGGAAAGAACATTCAGTCTGCCTTCAGGGTACCAATTAGTATGGTGCATTTTGCAGGGTGAGTTGTGTTTGATCAGTAGACAGACCTTTCCATGGGCTCTGACAGAAACTTCAAGAACAACTCAAGAGTTCTCAACAGAGAGATGATCATCCCTGGCTGTACTTTGTAATCAAGTGAGAGGTTTTCAAAGTCCCCATTCATTCCTAAAACGGACTGTAGCTTTAGTGGTGCAAGCTAAGAATATCTGGGGAGATCTTGGGAAAGAATAAACCTGTACCCTTCACTGTTATGTATGATTGGAATGTTGCAGATATTAAAATGGGATTTGATCGATTGCTGTTAAGACAAGGTGCCAGGATAACAGCAGGAAAAAATCTCAATACCCTCCCAGTTACAAATTCCAGACTTAAAATAAAGTCAATGCTTTGCACTGGCAACAGGATGGACTTGTCAGAGCTGGTAAGAGGACGGGATTTTCAATTAGATGTCCAACTGGGAAAAATAAACAATGACTCCAGTCCCACAAGATATACAAGCTCAATACCAGATGAATTGGAGGCCTACACATAAAATAATAATATTTCCAAAAGGCAACAATGTAAAAATAAATCTTCATAACTCTGTGCATTGTTTAATATGAAGTACAAAAACTAACCATCATAAAAATGACTGAAAAAGATATCCAGAAAAGGAAGATATTTGAAGTTCATATTTGTAACAGTTGCTATATGAAGAAAATCCCAAATGGAACACAGTCACAGGTTAGTAAGAACGGGCAATGGTATAGACACACAAGCCATCTCTAGATCACGCTTCCTAAGGACAGAAACAATGTGATGTGCTTCATGCTCCTTCGTTCATATCATTCCTGAAATGGTAGAACGTATCTCTACAAACAATGAGACAAAATAAGCCCCCCTCCCTATCTACCGTCTTCTGTATATTGCTCTTCTATAGCCCTCCTTGCTCCCTTACACAGATTGCTCTGTAGCCATCCCCTCCCACATTGCTTCAGTCCGTTATCTTCTATTAGGAAAGAAAGAAACACAGAACATTGGTGCCAAGGACAGGGTACTTCTTGACATAACACTGACTATGTGTGCTATAAGGCTTGGGTGTTGGTTTAGGGGTTAATGTAGAAGCATTTGGAGCCCTCTAGATTAGAGAAATCCACAATTACAGAAAAAAGAGAGCTCAGTCAGCCATTGAAGTGCTAATTCATAGCATCACAGTGCAGACAGAGTAGAAGGCAGACTCACAGGTTTGTACTCATGGGGCATATGAGGGCTAGGGGCAGAGGGTTCTGCCAGGACCTGGCTTAGAGGCCATTTGTGTTCTGTTTTATTAGACAATCTGGCTGTATTCTGTATGTTCCGAGAAACTGAGACTGACTTATAAAGTAGCATAATAATTCGTGTTATAAAAACTATTTCAAGATATTGCAGTATTTGGGTTGTTGAATGGTTACTGCGCTCTGCTCTTGGTCAAGTTTCTAATAAGACAGAGCTGTGAGTGAAGCAGAAAAGTCTGAAAACCTGTTCAGTTTGGTGGAAAGGGGTATGAGTGAGTCTAAAGCTGAAGTCCAAGAGGGTGCAGAAAAAGTACCTGTTATGAAAACAACGAGGAAGCTCAGACTTCACACGAAGACAATTATAGGAGTGCATTGAGGACCATCATGGGTTCAGGTTAGTAAAAATGCCAGTCTATTTTGAAGGAGAGTCTGGACTGAGATTATCACCAAACTGGTTCTCCTCTCAAAACAGCCACTGATGGAAACAGTTCTCTAGATTCAGACCCCACAGGCCTCCACAGGCTGCCACACACCACCACAGGCCCCCATAGGCCTCCATAAGCTCCCCAGTCCCCCATAAGCACCTCACATGCCCCCACAGGACTGCATAAGCCTCCCAGGCCCTCTCAAGCCCCCCACAGGTCCCCACAGGTCTCCACAGGCCCTCAAAAGCCACTAAAGCTGTGGTACAGGTGGGGCAGGATACTTCTTGAGTTAGGCACCCATGATACTAGGCACACAAAATGAATGAATGATAGGGGCTCATGGAGGCTTGAATGAGGGTTCCAGAAAGCTCCAGAGGCTGAGCTGTGAATGGCAGAGTTGGATTCCTTGCAAAGTACTGAGAAGGTATTCTATGAAGTAGTAACGATGACTCATAAGTCAGAAATAAAATTCACTTATTGTCCCAATACCACAGGTAATGAGTGCTGTCACATGACTATGGGACTGTTCTTCCTAGCATCCTGGTGCCCAAACCACAGGAGGGAGATTAATTTGTTCCTGAAGAATTTGTCATCCTGTGGTGCCTGCTGAGCCAGTGACATGGAGAAGTGGGGCTGTGATGCCTCTGCATGAAGACAGCAGTGTCTGGGTGTGGCTCCTGGGCTTTGGGTCTGAGAAGAGCCAGCCAGAACTGCGAAGTCAGGAGCTCACAGTCAGAACTGGAATCTATGCTGTATACTCTATTTGATCACGTATAGACAGTTTCCATGCTAGAAGATACAGAAACCCTTCTGCGGGGAGGTACAACTCTGGGAGTCCTGGAACAACTCCCTGTTTTGAAAGCCATCAGCAGACTAAAGAGCGCTGTGGCACCGTCATGCTGAGATGCCCAGGCCTCTGCTCGGAATGCAGTGGCTTTCGGTCTGTTCCTCTCTGGAACCCTTGTCTCTGCTTTTCAGAGTGTATCAATGCAAACCTTTCTTTCCCCAGCATTAGGAATTTGCAGTAGTGACTCATCTGTAATGTATTCTGGCTCACTTTAGCTTTTGTTGAATAAAAGGAAGTCCACAGGCCTGAAGGCTCCCTTGGGTGCCAGGGGTAGTTCTTCTACCTCACTTCTGTGCCTGGTTCCCAATCTTACAGAGGG